AAATTCTTTGGCTCGTGCTCCCCACATGAGCATGTAGAGAGTGTGCAGTTATATTAAGAAGAAAATAACAGAATTTAGCAGTATTATAATGATAACAACAACAAAAAAGAAGAGAAAAAAGTATTAAATATGAGAGAATTGAAGACTAGTTGGTATTTACAAGTCTGTGCAAGACTACGCAATGACGGCTGAAGTGTTGGTATATATTTAGTTAAATCCTGTGTTTACTGAAACAGCTGCTGAATTTACTGAGTTGGACACTTTAAATATTTCTGTTTATCTTCTGTGTTTTGCACACGTTCTGGTTATTCTTACAAAGAAAAAAAAAATCTGTTTGTGCTTCGTGCGCATAAAGATTTTGGAACCTTGTACGTGTGGACACTGTTGGAAAACAGCCGCTCAGGTTTAATCTGATCCAAAATTCAGTTTATAGAAACTGTGAAACATGACTGTTACGATGGTGTTTGACGTGGTCGTGTTACCTAAGCTCTGTAACTCAGTAAGCGGAAGCACGCAGTGACATCAGCTCGTGTTCTCTGTCAGTCGCCAAAGGTCCGTACACTGAGGTGGTGAAGCTGCAGCAGATGCGCTGCCTGTTTGAGGCGTACGAGCATGTCCTGTCTCTACTGGAAAGAGTCTTCACGCCCATATTCTGTCACAGCGATGAGGTAAGACCTCTGCAACCAGACTCACCCACACAAACGCAGCACATCAAAGCACAACATCACAAGGTCACCAGTTTGTGCTTCAGATGCTAGCTGCCTTGTTTGTTCCACTTTGTCATAGATGCACGGGTTAACCTGAGCCAAAAGCCCAGCCTGCTCCTTACGCTCAGCTTAAGAGCTGATATCCCTAATATGGTTGATCTTACGTTTGTGAGGGGCAGCCAATCAGGAGAATCAGCTCAAACACAGGGACCTAAAAAGTTTTTTTTTTTTATCATATTAACTAAGGCTCTGCATCCAAGGTCCAGTGTGTGACACATAAAGATTATTCTGAACTGTGAATCATGCAAAGTTACTCTAGAGTCCAAGAATAGAAATCTGGAGGCGGAAGTGAGTTTAATTTCTTATTCATTAACAGTGTTGAGGTAATAGCTATATATACACGAAGCTGTAAGTTATATAAATGAAGAGAAAGTTGATCTGACTTCTATTTGTTACACTTAAAATACTTTTTTACAGGATTATTTACCAATTCTTTTTCACAAATTTGTCCAAAAACGTACCTGATTTAAATTTGACTGCTCTTCTCCTTTTCTCTGAAATATTTTGATTACACCCCATCGTACATTTATCAGGACTTTCAGAATCTCATATTAGTCACTACTTATGTACCTTTTTCTCTTCTCCGTGCAGTACTTCAGACACCTGCTGAAGGGGGTGGAGTCTCCAGCGAGGAACTCGAAAGTCAGCAGGTTTGTGATTTGCACTAAACTTCATGTGTTTATTTTGATAGGTGTTTAAAATTTTTTAAAAAAAGTAACAATGAAAGGGGGTGGGGGGGAAAGCATTTATTCTGAAAACACAAATTTGTCAACACGTGCATAAACACAAACACGTCAGAGTAATTTGGTTTGTTCCTCCTCATTTTGAGTGACCACCGTAAACCTTTCACTGTGAGGCAGCACACAATCAGAGCAGCTCGCTGTGCTCACGTTTATTTCTCTGAGGTTGTTTTTTGTCCAAACGCCCGTCTTTAGATGTGCTTCTTATTCCAGAAGCTTCAGCTGGGACGAGACCAGGTAAGCACTCGAGCAGCATGTTGCTCGTCTGCACTGAAACTCTGCCTGCAAACAGCACACGGTACGATGCATGCGGATAGAGCACTGCTGACCACAGATTTGTTTACGTGATGCTCGCTCAGCGATTTTAACCTCCTGCTTGAGAAGATGGAATAAAGATGCTGGAGAGTCATTAGAATTTCTCCTTGTGGTTGGATGAGCAGCACCGAGTCTTTGCATTGCATTTGCATTTTTGCCTGACACTGATTTTTCGTTTTTAGTCACTGTTCTTGATTCAGGACTCAGCAGTCGTGCGTTTAGTGCTAGAAAGGCAAACAGATTTTCCCCAGATGTCATGCAAAATACAAAATTCTTTCAGATGTGGCTTTACAAACACATTTTCTATAAGTGGACATGCTCTGCTTTTCCTCGTGTTTGTTATATGCAGATATCTACCGTTCCTGCATAATTGGAGGACTGTCACTGCAAACCTTTATAACATCTGTCCAGACAGCTGTTTTCTGCTACCACCAGGCCAACATATACTAATGTTAGCGTGCTGGCAGGAATAAAGTACACATCAGTGTTTGAAATGCAGATTACAGACGTGAAAACATGCAGCATCACTTTAAATTAAGTGATCCGAGCCCAGTTCTCCTCTTCTTCCTGGAGGTTGTGTCCGAGTGTCTAAGCTACAGCTGAAGCTTTTACAGCTTTCAGGTGTGCTCTGGAAAGTTTGTGAGAAAGAAGTACAGACATGCTGATGCTGGCTGTCCTTTCTTAGTGCATGCCTGCTGCATGACACGTGCACCACACAACCTGTTTCCAAAGAATTTAGGGCAAAGAACTGTATGCACTCCTCTGCAAGTCATTTCAAACCTGTGTTACATAAAAACGATACAAACCCAAAATCTAATGACATATCTTTAAAAAAAAATGGTGGCACAGGCTGGTAAAATCATGTAATGGTTAAAAAAAAGAAGTTAATTACTAAGATGATCATGTATGAAGACACTTTAGAGAAGTAAAGGAGAGTGAGACCACGGGAAGTTTATGATGATTTAAGTTTGAGTCCAGATATGAAAACATCTGGAATGCTATGAAAGCAAACTGAGCTGTTGATTCTAAAGAGTGTTTATCAAGTTTCCCAGCGCAGACCGAGTGCTGTTAACGGAACGGTGATGCAGCAAAGTGCTCTTTTGTACTTAACTTCATACAAGTTTGACATGATTTGCAGATCATTGTATTCTGATTACATTTTACTTACACGTCCTAGTGCACAGAGAAATCCTCCGTGTGAATTTGTCCTGCAGTAAATGGAGTTCAGAGAAACGAGATGAAATATTCTGTTATCTTTAGAAACACGTCCAAAAGAGGGGAGTCGTTCGGTATCAGAGGAATTGGCAGTAAAATCAAAGGCGTGTTTAAGAGCACGACCATGGAGGGCGCCTTACTGCCACCCAGCGCCATGAATGACGTCGACGACGATATGGTGAGTGCAGCGGCGTTTAAATATAGATCGATGGTTTTTTCACATCTGTGCTCAATGTCTTAGTTGTGAGTCTCCTCTGCGCGTCCTGAAGGTGGAGGAGGCCACAGTTGTGATGGAAGACGACTCCCCCGACGAGCCGGCCATCCCACCTGAACCTCAGAGGAATCTTCTGGACTGGAGCATCACCATCCCCTACATCGACTTCTACGACGACGACATCAAGAAGGAGCGGATCCTAGTCTTCTCCATCCACGTCGAGCGCAACGACAAGAAGAACGGTGAGCGAGCGGAGAGGAAGAACAAACCTTGGCCAGGTTCTTCCTGCACAGACGAACCTGAAGATGTTTGTAGGAAAATAACCTTTAATGAGGTTTTATTTGCTCAGAGCAGACATTTGTTTGTTATATAATCAGAAATAGTCCTGTGAGGTAGCACAGACTCAGTGACTCATCAGTCAGATGATGTAATGGCTGTTGCTCTCATCTACTTTAGCTGATAACGAAGCAGACAAGTGGTTGGTGCAAAGGAAGTACATGGAGTTCTACGTCCTGGAGTCAAAACTCACCGAATTCCACGGTAATACAGTGTTTACAAAACCATAGACTGTATATAAGAGATGGACTCTGCTGAAAAAGGGCTGAAAGGTAAAAGTGGAAAGTGAAGTATGCATTCTTTGTAATGGCCAACAGATGGAGACTCTGTGGTGGCTCTTGCATCTGGTTTTAATGTTAAAGGATTCCACAAACCACAGGCTGGCTATGTCCTTTCTTCGTATACAGTCTATGTACCTACCTCACGTTATCAAATGACCGTGTTATATTTCAGCTGTTGGTATTTTACCCCTTTTTCCCCCTGCTTGACTTTGTTCTCAGGCCCATTTGAAGATGCACAGCTTCCATCCAAAAGAATCATCGGACCAAAGAACTACGAGTTCCTCGAATCTAAAAGGGAAGAATTTGAGAAATATTTGCAGGTATTGGAAGTCTGAAGTTTGAGGAGCATTAAAGAAGCTAATGAAGCATGGCTGCTGTAGACTCTTTATTCCATATGCAGGTTCTGTTAGTCTATAAAGCATCTCGCCCCCAGAAAAACAAATCTAAGAGAAGCAGTAAAGTTATCAGTTAGTCTATGCACCGCTGCTTGGCCTGATGACTTTGAGCGCTTGTTGTATTTTTCTGTAAGTCTTTATTTGAGAGGTGAGCATCAGTCTGACTCTTGGCTCTTTGTGTTTGTGCGCAGGCTCTCCTGCAGCATCCGGAGCTCAGCAACAGCCAGCTGCTGTTCGACTTCCTGTCTCCTCTTGTGGAGCATCAGTTCCTGGACAGGATGCTGCCCGATGTCAACCTGGGTACGTAACCAACGCATCACACATGCCCTCTGTTTTGTTTTTTTTTAAAATTTTATTTTATGTGACTATTTCAGAGTAGCTGCGCTAATAAAGTGTTAGCTCACCTGTAGCCGGTGGAGACCTAGTCCATGTGTCACTACACTGATCTCGCCACAGCTGCAGAGCAGAACGACCACCGTCAGAAACTGCAATCTGAGAATGGTAGCTAACTTCTGCTCCATTTTTTAATGTTGCAAAGCAGCATGATTATGAAGTCGAAATGAAGACTTTGTGCTGCATGTCTTGCACACGTGCAGTCTAAGAGAGTTCATCTTCTCCCACTAAAGAAATAAGACAGTCACTGTCGGTTATTCTGGTTAAAATTCAAACTGTGGATGGATGGCTCAACGCCATGACTGAAGTCATCTCTTGCATGAAGTAACAAAGCACTCCACCTTGAAAGCTGGCGGTAGCTGCTGGTTTACTGGTAAATGGGGTTTAATCAGCTTGTACTCACTGACTTTTACTCACAGTGAACATGCCTGACCTTTTTCTACTTCGTGTGATTAATAATCAGGCAGTGATGCCATCATAATGTCTGTCTTTACTCAACATTTTCTTTTGAAAATTAAAATCTTTCATTATTACTTTTTTCTTTTAAAAGAATTTTATTGTGAAACATTTGTATAAAACTCAAACTGACTTAAGAAAGTGATGAAATAAGTAAATACCATTGGTGTCAGTGGCCGTGACGACCTTCCTAAAATTTCCACATTTTATGTTCATGCTTTTATATTAATTTAATTTGTACACTGTTAACATCAGTGCTTCTGCATTGTAATCTGTATAAAGCAGTTAATGTTACTATGGGAGTAAATATCATAATTTTTCATTCAGCGCTCGCTGCCGCCATCTTTCTCTGCGTTTGTTTTGTGACTCAAGTTTTTTTTCTACAGGAAAAATCTTCAAGTCTGTTCCTGGAAAGCTGATAAAGGAGGTGAGTATCTCTTCCTGAGCCGGGGATCTTCTCTGTTTTTCTTTTGACTTTGCGAAGGCATTATCTCAGTTAACGAAGCAAACGTCTCACGTTGTCTGGAGTGATTTTAGAAGCGTGTGAAAGTGCAGCTTCTCTGTGTCCCACCTTTAAAAGCCACGTCTTATTGGTAAGCTGATATTTCCCTCTGCAGACCCAGAATTTCACTGTGAGCCAAAACCAGAAAGCAAAATTACTCACGATTCGTTTTGTGTAACCTCTAGGGTCGCAGGCAGTCACAAGCATTGGGAATAGACACACAGATATACAGAAACAGCCGGAAACATGCCAAACCCCACAAACAGAGTCTGTGGTCAATGACATCTGGTGTCATGCAGCTGACTCGACCTCTAGGACAGATTCACAGGGTCTCGAAGAAAAACGATGTCTAAAAAATACATCTAATCATTTCCTGTTACTGATGTTGTTGCCCTGGTTTTTTCATTTAAGGTGGAATTTACCCACAGAGTAGAGCTTTCTTGTACATTCAAGGACGGAGATGTATTTTGGTTATGGTTGTCTTGGTTGGCAGTGTATATAGCTGTAAGCTTAAAAAGTCTGACCTGGGGGCAGTGCTTTAACTTTTTCCTTTTTCTGTGACCCACAAATTTTGCTGGGTCCCACCATACATGAATAATAAATGAATAAGTAATGAATCTCGAGCAAATGAGTGGGAAATATCTTCCAGTAAAACAACTGTTTCAGTTAAAAAAAACAAAACAAAAACGATTTTGTGTTGACAAAATCGTGAGACGAATTTCAGGAACCAATACGACAAACATCCTATTCATCAGTGCTCCTGCACTGACGGCCAGAGGGCAACAAGTCAAAGTCATTGTAAAGTGGATACTTAAAACAATTAACAATAGAATGAACCTTCCTCAGCACATGCTTGTTATAAACGGCCAAAACTCCGTCTTGCCAACTCCCTGAGAATTTGCTGGCAGTTTTCACCAAAAGTCCCAACTGATTCTTGTTCTTCAGAGTCATGTTACCGAACCAGGCAGTGATACAGAAAGAAATAACAGGTTCAATAAAACTCCTGTAAAATAAGGACAACATTTCAGATAAAAGATCTCTTTTTCGGTAAAAACAACAGTGTTTGGTGAACTTTTTTGGTAGTGGCATCAGTATGAGGTTCAAAACACAGTTTACGGTCAAGAACAATCCCTAAATACTTGTAAACACTCCACAATCTCAATATCAGCAGCTTTAATGATAGTAGATGATAAGCTATAATAGAGTTTCTGCAGATATGTCACACATGTTGTGAAACTCGCTGACGTGTGTTTTACAGAGAGGACAGAACCTGGAGCGGTTCCTTCAGTCCTTCGTCAACTCGTGCGAGTCTCCCAAACCCAAACCGAGCCGGCCCGAGCTGACCATCATCAGCCCCACAGCGGGGAACAAGAAGGTAATAAACATCTGTCCTATAAATGCATATGGAAGCTTTAACGCCATGTCTGAGCCTCAGTCATATCCCGGTATTTAGTCATGAATACTTGTAGAAGCCCGGTTCAAAGAAAAGACAATTCAGGTTTTTTTATACAGCACCAAATCACAACAACAGTCACCTCAAGGTGTTATTGTAAGGTAGACCCTACAATAGTACATATGGAGAAAATCCCAACAATCATAGGACCCCCCATGAGCAAGGACTTTGGCGACAGTGGGAAGGGAGAAACTCCTTTTTAACAGGAAGAAACCTCCAGCAGAACCAGGCTCAGGGAGGGGCGGCCACTTGCTGCAACCGGTGAAAAGGAAAGTTTAATCCTAATCTCAAAAGTACAGATTGTGTCTCCTGAATCCAAGATGGGAGCCTGAAAACTGAAGGTTCTGTGTCCCATTCGACTTTGAAATATATGCTCTATGAAAGTAACACGGTACTGTGGGGTCATTAGGATAAGATGGGGCCTGATTGTTCAAGACTTTGTCTCCTGTGTGTTATGAACTAAAGATCCTCTGCAGGTACTCGTCTGTAGCTTAGCCTTGTTTTTTCAGTATTTCTTCATGTTTTAAATTACGTCGAGCATTTAATCGTTACGAGGTAATGGTATGTGCTCGTTGTCCTGCAGCTCGTTAGCAACCTGTTCAAGAACAACGGCATCCTGTCGGAGAGGAAGCACAACCCCAACTTCTTCGCAGAGACGTTCACTGTGGACGGCATGTACGACTACATGATGTATGTCGGTGAGTGAGCCTGAGGAGCCGTTAGCAGCCTCTAAAGGCAAGATCACAGCTTTACAGGAAGTCTGTACAGCCTCCGTCACAGTGTCCGTGTAAGTAATCGAAGTCAGAAACACGACGATGATGGGATCAAATCGCACACATTTGGAAATGCTGGAAGCTGGAATTTCCTGCAGTCAGAACTTTTGAGGGAAAAATTACTGCAGGAAAGCATCCAATGATTTCCTGCAGTTTTCTACGTTTCACTCCTCCTGCAGCAGGTACTGTGGCCTTTAATGGTAACATAATGCACGTTGTACTGATAATCAAAGCAGGGATGAAGACACTTGCATTAATCACAGACCCACAGTTTAGTTTAGAAAGCAGCCATCGTGCTAACGTGCCCCACCAAAGCTCTTTTTACTTTTGTTTCTTTAAGCAGAGATTTTGCTTTGAACGCGCAGACCTGTTATGATTAGAAGACTTTAGATTGGTCACCTAAAGCCTCTGAGATGTTTCAAATTCAAATTCAAATTTTTTTATTTGTCACATACACAGTCATACACAGTACGATATGCAGTGAAATGCTTAAACAACTGCTCGTGACCTAAAGAAAAAAAGAAAAGGCTATGAATAAGATAGGAAATAAATATGAAAATTAAAAAGGGTAAATTTAACCAGGAAGGAATAAAATAAAATAAAATATAAAAAATTAAGTTAAGAATGAGATAACTGTACAACACAAATTAGAATGAAGGGTAAATTTAACTGGGAAAGAATAAGATAAAATATATAAATTAAAGTTGAAAATAAAATAACTGTACAACAAAATACACCGTATAGAAATATATAAGCATGTATGAAGAAATATAAATATATATATA